AAAAAAAGCCTAAGGATGGAAAGGTTAGGCAAAAAGTCAATAGACCAAAGCTCTTAGTGATAAAGAAGCAGCAGAATCAAACTGTAGCATAGAAGGAAGTGGCAGAAACCCAAATTAGTTTGGAAGAATAAAGACAGAGGCATTGCATATATAGATGCATCCATAGCCTACTATGTGTCTAATACTGTGGCAGATACTGGAAATTTATCTCAGCTCAAGGACAAATGTTAAGTGCTAAGCCAAGTAGCAAATAATGGCCTTATCCTCTACCTCTTCAGGACAGTGTCTAGGGGAAAATATTACAGGTCTTGTTTTAAGGGATTTAAAGTTTTTTTTTTCTTTAGTATGTCAGAAAGCTAATCAGAGTCCCTGAGGGCCCTGGGATAACATTCTGACCCTCTAATTGCCAGATTCGATAACTGGCCTTCTCTGCTTTAAAATACAACAAGGCTCTCTCATGAATGAAAAATTACAGCAGRATGCAACCATGTAAAACTAGAGACCAGAGTCAAGAGTCCTACTGACATTCACCACTGCATCATTCACCACCATGTGAATCATTTCCCCCTCTGGACTTCAGTTTCCCCATTTTTAACTTGAGGGCGTTGGACTAGACTGTCTCTAGGATTCCTTCCAGCCTGTGGAAGCTCCACACTGTTTTGATGTGGTGGCAGATCTCAGATTGATTTACATAAATTTGCATGTTCAATCAGAAATCCCAAACTCCAAGTATAGAAAAATYCAATCAGTCCATTAGCACAGCCAGACAGGCTGGAGAAGCCTGCCAGTTTCGGTTGAGGGTTGTCAAAGCAGACGGTGGTAGTAACGGTGACTTGGGGGGAGAGGGTGGGGGAAGCAAGAGTGGGAAAGGGCATTTGTTCTGAGAAATGCAGCTCTGGGGTTCCAGGACTGATGGGGTTAGGGACCCTACTCTGGCAATCAGGCAAGGGTCTTTCTTTTATCCTTCTGCTCCTAACGGGGCCTCTGCTGGCCAGCCTCAGAGCCACACCCCAAGAAGGAAGATCAGCCTCTGCCTAGCAACAGCTGCATCCTTCACTCTGACAGGGACTCTACCATTAGCCACTTTCTGGGAAACTGACTTCCCTGGGAGCTTCCATTATCCATTTCAAGAGCTCCTATCAGTGAGGAAGGTTTCCTTGGGGTCTGACCTAAATAACTCCTGCTGCAGCTTCACTCATATATACAGGAGAGAGGGGTTCCCAGGCCCAATAGAGCCAGCAGAGGGAAAAGCAATGCAGGAGAATATGCCTCATATTCAACCAATCTGAAGGCCTCTCTAACTACTACCTCTCCTTCAACATTCCCCTTCACCTGGGAGACCAAAGATGAAAACAAACAAGAACGTAAGGCCTTTTGGCTCTTGAGCTGGAAAGCAAGTCCCAACCTGGAGAGAACTGACTCCTGAGAAAGCCCTACCCACAGGAGACAAGGGGGCTGGGAAAGATGGGGTGGGGGACAGCTTCTTGTTGCAGGAGCTGTTGAGCTGGCATGGCAGGGCATGGGAGGCTGGCTGGACTAGGTGAGGGTAGCAGGGAAAATTCAGCCCCTTGCCTGGGAGCTGGGGTGGTAAGTACACAGAGGTGAAGTGGGTAGGGTCAGGGGGTGGGATGGGCAATAGCAGTGGGGCCCTCCTTGCCCTTTTCCCATAAGAGGGTAGATGAGTGTGCTATGCTTCCTGGCCCAGATCCTAAAACAAGTCCCAACAGCTGAGATGCAAACTGTCTCCTGGGAATCTGCTTACCCTGCTGGCCTTTGGCTGCCTCCTCCTCTCAACCCCTCCCCAAAGGTCCAACTCAAAGACTGGCTGAGCCAGATGTCTCATCAGAGGCCTTGATGGGTGGGCCAAACCCAAGCAGGAGTTCATATCCCAAGGCACCAGGGGTGAGCAGAACAATGAGTATTCCTGGGCAGGACAAGGGAGTCTGCTCCTCTCTAACCTTAGTTCYAATCCTAAGCAACTATGACACCTCACACCTTAGCTCTGTGAGGTGGAACCAGCCTGCCAGAGGACCATTCTCACCTCTAGAGTTGCCTAATAGTATAATCATTCAATATCAAAAAGGGGATTTTAGAGCTTTCTAGTCCCACTGGTCAATTTAAAAAATGATGGAAACTGAATCCCAGAAAAGGAAATTGTCTTGGCAAGGCCATACAGATTAGGAAGAGAAGGGCCCAAAGATTCTCTCAGAAAGTGTATGTATATGTGTATCTTCATTTATGTATTTTGTGTGTATTACTGGGGATTGAACCCAGGAGTGCTCTAACAACAAGCTACACCCCTGGCCCTTTTCAGAATTCTTTGGAGACAGGTTCTGAGTTGCCCAGGCTGGCACTAAATTTGTGATCCTCCTGCCTGAGCCTACTGAATTGCTGGGATTACAGGCATGCACCACAATGGGCCTCTCCATCCATATTGATATCAGCTCAGTCCTCATACACACAGGTTTTCACTTGCCTATCATGAAATACCTTCTCCCCTGCAGCCAAGACATTGGCCTCTCTGGGTTCTCACTCTCCTCTCAAAGGCCTGAGTTGGAGAAAGATGCTGAAGGACCAGAGACACAAATGCACAAACCACAGATCTTGAAAACAAAATTGAACTACTTGGGATTACCCCTTATACAGGAATATATATGGTTTCTCTGGGGTGAAAAACTCACTAAACCCAGGTTGGTTTTAAGAAAGGGTGGGGGAAAGAATTTGAGAGGTAAATTTTGTGTCTTCCTTCTGGCTAGACAAGGGGTCTCAAGAGAGCCAGCTGACATAATGTCTCTAAGAGAGGGTCTGCAATAAGGCAACTGGGCTACATTCATTTTCCCCCAAAGTAATGACCACACAATGATTAAATACTGACCCCTCTCTATCTATTCCCAGACCTCTCCTGCCCCAGGCCTCTGGCTACAACTATTTCCTCTGGCTGACAATTGTGCTTAGGCAGGAGGACCTTAGTGGGGAGGCAGAGAAGTGGTAGGGAGGGAATAGAGGGATTGCCTCTAAAGCCAGGGAACCCCTCAATCGAAGACACCAGTAGCAGCTGGGCAGACTGGGTGGGTTTGGCTGATACAGGTTTGAGCAGCCTGGAAAACCAGGCCTACGGGAGGTGAGGGCCCTCTATGCCCTTGGGGCAGTGCCAAGGCTGGAGAAACGTAGGGGGTTTGGCCCAGGATAAGAAGAAGGTAGATGGGGCTATGGCCAGCCACTTTCTTGGGCTCTATGCTAASTAGACCAGGGGAACGGGAGACACAGATTCTCTGCATTCTTTTGACACCGCAACCAGGACCCTGAGAGCCTTTTCTGCGGGGATTGCCCGGTCCCTATCCTGGCCCAACCCTTCACTCTCCCTCAGCTTTTCTTCTGTTTGCTGCCCGCCAGGATCCCTCCTCCTTCCCGCAGCCCCTTAAGCTTCGGAAGGGCTGTTCCGGGACACCAGGTCTCTCCGTCTTTCCCCGCCTCCCCCACGCCCTACCGCCCCAGGCTGTGGGGACTGGAAGAAGTGCGAAGTGGAGCCCCAGGCCCGTCTCCGTGCCTGCGCTTTGGGGAGACCCCCCCCCAACAACCTGGCACCGCTAAGCAGCACCCGGACCTTGGGACCCGGGTTGGGTAGAGTACGCAGCTGGGGCAAGGTCAGTGCTTTCGAAGCAGGAGGRAGGCAGGCCACCGGAACATCCCCCACTCCCGAAAGTTTCCCTTCCGGGGCCACGGAGTGTGCGCGAGGATGGCGCAGGGGGCGGGAGGGGGTGGGGTGGGGGTGGACAGAGTCGCAGCCAGACCCTCTGGGGAGAGTGCAGCGCGAGGGAGGGGCACACTGCAAGGTACGCGCAGGAAGCCGTGACGCCCCCTCCGACCCATAACTGCCACGAGAGCTTTACCCTCCACACTCCCCAGCCCCCTGCCCAGTGCTTACAGACTCTCCCACCTTGCCGCCCTTTGAATCCCAAGTAGGCCCGGAACTCACCGAAATCAGGTGTTGGGCTGGACCAGGGCTGGCAGGATCCGCTGGGTCCATGGCCGCAGCTCGGGGGCGGGGGGCAGAGAAAGGGGGGTGCCGGAGCCGCCTCTTGATGTCAAGGCTTTAAAGGGGCCAGCGAACCCCGCCCCTTGCCTAGACTCCGCCTCCCTCGTCCTGCGCAGCCAATCCGCGTTCATCATGGATGTGCACCCCTCCCACCTCCTCCAGATGTTCCCAGGACAAGAGCTWAGTCTGCCCGGCCGGCGCGCGCCGCTTCCGCCCGGGTGGGGAGGGCCTCCCCTCCCCCTATGGAGAAACACTCTCGTCWGGCCTTCCTTGGCCTGTAGTACACCTCCCCAAAGTCGCCATCGGGGACYCCGGGGCTGTGCCGAGTGGGGTAGAATGGGGCCGTCTGCAGAGAGAAAACTTAAGTAGGTACGCGCGAGCCCACGGGCTTGCGCGTCGGTTTTCGTGGGGCTGGGTGTGCACGTGTGTATGTAGTTGTGAACGTTGGTGTTTACAATTTTGCCTTCCTACATACGTGTTGGGTGTAAATTCAGGGGAAGAGTCTTGAGTTCTCCCTTGGCCTTAAGTGCGAAGTGCTTCGTCCTCGAGGATCRGATCTTCGCAGTAGTCTGGAAAACTGGGCACTTAGGAAATGGCTCTGCTTGTGGGTGAACAGCGCTGTCCGTTTCCTTACTAGCTTAAGAGCAGGCAAAGTGCACAAAAAGAATACGTCCTTGTTTGGGGTCACTTACTATATTGGGGAGGGGCAGGGGCACCAGTTTGAACCACCTGCTTAAAGAGGAAATAGGCCAAACAGTCCACCAGGCCAATATAGAGGCTTAGAGCTCCCTTCATTGCTATTCTTATTGGTCCTTGATTAAACATCATTGTCTGGATAGTTTATAATCCTCACAAGCCCACATCTGGGCACTAGCCAGGATATTCAGATTCTGAACTGCGTTCTGCAGGGAAACAGAAAGGTATTACTAGACAGTGTTTGCTTATTGCTTTTGTTGCAAATATATGTGACTTTAAAGTATCATATTAGTCCAATAAAGGAACATAATAACTGAGGGAACACAGAGTTCCCAAGTTGGCTAGGATTAATTAAGAGCTCCTTTCTGAAAGAGACTTCTTATTTAAAATGGAATTTGAAGGACAGAGGGAACTTGAGTGGGATCTAGGCAGGGTAATGACAGGAGGAGACTCTGGTAGGAAAGAGCATATTATCTGCATGAGACCGTGAGCAGATTACCTTGGTGGGAAAAGGGAGAAGTTAATTAATTCCCCAGATTTTCCATGGAGATTAAGAATGAAGTTATGGACTTGACAGTTGATAAGTCATTTTTGGGTTCTGGAGCATAGGACTAACTTGATGAAGAGAGTATCTGAGGACAGTTACGGATGGAGGTCATGGTGATTATCCTCACCAATTCTCTCAGCTTCTTGCTTAACATTTTTTTGTATTGATTTATCTTAACATGCAATAAAMTGCAGAGATCTTAGATGTTGTTTAGTGAATTTCAACAATAATATAACCTATGTAATCAACACCCAAAACAAGATACTGAACCATCTCAGAAAGTTCCCTTGTGTTTACAGTTGATCACCCTGTGCCTACCACCATCCTCCGTGACAACTTTGAATTTAATTACCATAGTTTGTCTGTTCTCTTTCACATAAGTGGAAACTTACAGTAGTAAGTTATTTAGCTTAGTAATGTTTTTGAAAAACATCTGCAAGTACCTGTAGTCTATTCTTTTTAGTTACTGAGTAATATTCCATTGTATGAATATATCACAACTCATATTATCCATTCTCTGCTTGATGGATATTTGGGTGCTTCCCGACTATTATGAATAAGACTGCTGTAGAAATTCTTGTATACATCTTTCTATGAACATGTTTTCATTTATTTTTCACCTTATTTCATCAGACCTTGGGAGTGGAAGTGGAAGGAAGCGGAGAGCTAGGCTAAGACTTTTGGATAATTTGTAGATGGTAGGGCTACTCACTGAAATCAAAAGTGCTGTTTATAGATAATGGTATCTTTGGAACACTATAACATTGATCAAATCCTATTCAGTCATCCAACTTATTGAATAGGGATCAGTTGGCTAGTCCTGGGATTATAAGAAAAATTAAACATGGCCCTTTCCTCAAAAGGCTTAAAATCTCCATCTAACTCTATTTGCATGCTAAGCCTTGGGATGGAAAACCATGAAAGTCTGCCACACGTTTCTAATTATCATTGAATGTTTGCAAATAATGGAATATTTGGAAGCAAATAGAACATCTAGATGATTTCCTATTTTTCATTCAGATGTTTGCCCTTGTTGAGTAAACAGACAAAATCTATATTGTCAGAGCAAGTACCTGCCCTCCTTAAAGACACTAACACTTGATAGATTAGGCATTTAGATTTTGGCAGATTTTCTATGCTTCACAACCTTCATCTTCAGTTTCAGGAAAAAGAAATGTAGTTACCATTGCTCTCTGGTGTTCCTTTTCTGTCTTTGATGAGGCTTAAGACACTTTAATTCTCAGTGTTGTTATTCACTTAAATTATTAAAAATTAGGAGTCCCAAATTTGGTTCTCCACCCATGTTATATATCACTAATCATACATTGTCCCTTCCTTATTAAAATGACCCCCTCACTTCTCATGACAGTACTTTGAATAGGATTTCCCACTTCAGTATTATATGGTCATTCCTTTAGTGTTGGGGCATTTCTACTCCTCAGTAGAAATGACATTATAGCAATGTAACAGTGGTTGCACGGGTTGATAAGCTGACAAGTTTAGAAAGCATGACATCAAAAGACAGTCAAGTTAGTAACTGTTTCTCAAAACATTTTAAACTGGCTATTCACCAAGTTGGATTGACTTGTGGGCACAATTTTGATGGATTTCTTGCTCAGTAAGAGGAAGGAAGGAGCTAGTTAATGTTGGTTCTTTTGCCAAAGGAATAGATTGTTGCTAGCACTTCTTAATTCTACATGGAACAGTCATGTTCCTTGGATTCTGACAGTATTGTCAATATGTGCTTTAAAACCTCTTACCTGGTATAGATATGATGGATCTGCCTCGATCCTTGAATGTTTTTCATTTTTTATCCTTCAAAAAACAACTGAGCCAAGCATAGTGGTGCACACCTGTGTTCCCAGTGACTTGAGAGGCTAAAACAGGAGTATCACAAGTTCAAAGCCAGCCTCAGCAATGGCAAGGTGCTAAGCAACTCAGTGAGAACCTGTATCTAAATAAAGTACAAAATAGGGCTGGGGATGTGGCTCAGTGGTTGGGTGCCCCTGCGTTCAATCCCCGGGACCCCCCAAGAAAAAACCTCCCCCAAACAATTGAGCCTTTATGCCAGCCACTGTGCATATTGTATTAGGTAAGTAATGTGGATAGGCTATGCAGCGAGATTGGAAAGGTAAGCAATATGAATCATCCTAAGAGCAATGCAGAACCTTTAGAATGACTTAAACAGTGGGATGGCATAATCAGATTTGCATTTTGGAGAGATCACTGTGGTTACAGTGTAGAGAACAGGGAGCAAAATTGAAGCCAGGGATACCAGAGAGAAAGGTTTTATAGAAACTGAGGAGAAATGTGAGAAATTATGTGTTCTGGACTAGGAAAGTGATAGAGGTGATGGATAGATGACTTCAAGAAATAAAYAGGCTGAGTGAAGTCTGAGGCAGGAAGATCACAAGCTCAAGGCTAACCTCAGCAATTTAGCAAGACCCTATCCCAAAATAAAATAAGGACTGGGGCAAAGCACCTGGGTTCGACTCCTAATACCAGAGGTTGAAGATGAAGAAAGAAATAATAGCAGAATCATCAGACCTTGGGRTTGGAAGTGGAAGGAAGTGGAGAGCTAGGCTAAGACCTTTGGATAATTTGTAGATGGTAGGGGCTACTCACTGAAATCAAAAGTGCTGGAGAAAGAGGTGATTTTGGAAATGGTATGCTTATTTCCAAACATGTTGACTTTGAAATGCCTGGAGGACATCCAAGTAGAAATGTCTATCCAAGAGATCAACTTCCCAACTATTATGCCTCAAAAAGAGGTTACAGATGTGCTGCATTTTGCTCTTACTTCTTAGGGCAGTGCAAGCTCCCTGAGACAAAGTAATCTTAATTGTGTTGGACTGCATCATCCAGCATAGAAAATGCCGTCATTTTCTACATTTTCTATGTGTGCCATGATGTGGAAAAGGTTGGAAAACAATGATGTAAGCAGCATGATAAATAATTYTGAAGCTCAAGAGAGGGAACTCGACCAAAGGTATTTGTGAGTCATCAAAACATTGGAAGTAACTGAAGCCATGGAGTGGAAGAGATCATGCAGGAAGAGGGGCTGGTACAGAACCCCAAAGAACACCATTTGAGGGGCTGGGGTTGTGGCTCAGTGGTAGAACACTTACCTAGCATATGTGAGGCACTGGGTTCGATCCCTGGCACCACATAAAAATAAAAACAAATAAATAAAGGTATTGTGTCCCTCTACAACTAAAAAAATCTTAAAAAAAAAAAAAAAGAACACCATTAGAGAGGGATCTCCAGAGAAGAAAGAAAAATGGATGAATACTGTCACCAGAGCCTAAGAAAGAAGTTTCCAAAAAAAGACCAAATATAGTTTCCAGGGTTGTTGAGGTCAAGGACAGTTTGATCAGGACAGAGAATGTTCCTAGACTTTTGCACATCATTAGAGAGTGGCAAAAACAGATTTTGAAGCGACAAGAAACATGTAAGGAACACAGACAGGAAGTGCTGAAAACTCTTCCAAAATTTTTGGCTATGCTATGAAGGGAAAATTAGGCAGAGATACAGGTGGGCAGTAGGGAGAAGTGTTTTAGGCCATGCTTGGAGGCATATGCCTGTAACTTCAGTGATTTGGGAGGCTGAGACAAGAGGACTGTAAGCTTGGGTACAGCCTGGGCAATTTAGTGTGACTGTTGTCTGAAAATAAAAAAATAAAAGTGCTGGGRATAATATAGCTCTTAGATTTAATGTCCACTAACATATGCACATATACACACAATTATTTTAGAAAGATATTTTTAATGAAAG